ACAAGTGACAGCCATTTGCTCCTCCCTGATTACTACTAAAGGACTCTGAGTCGGTCATCTGTCATCCTGCCCACCAGCTTCCCCAGTGACTCTTCCAATCCCTCCACCACATAGTGGAAATACTACAGAACCACCTTCAGCCTGGATGTTATAGAATTGGGGAGGTGTTACAGGTTGAATTGTGTCCCCCCAAAATAATATGCCATGTCCTTACCCCCCAATACCTCAGAATGTGACCTTATTTGAAAATAGAGTCTGTACAGAGGTAACCAAGTTGAAATGAGATTGTTAGGGTGGACATTACTCCAATATGGCCGGTGTCCTTAAAGAGGGTGACAGCTGGACACAGAGAGCCATGCAGGAGGAGGGAAGATGTGAAGACACACGGGAGGAGGCCATGTGAGGACAGAGGTTGGCCCAGGAAAGCCAACGTGGCCAGTGAGGCACCAGGAGCTGCAGAGAGGCGAGCAACCACGTGTCCCTCACGGCCCCCAAAAGGAACCAACCTGGCTGGCACCCGAGCTCACACCTGCAGCCTCCAGAGCTGCAGGATAACGAAGGCATGTCTGTTCCTCACTTCAAGTCACATGCACTTTGCCACGGCAGCCCTAGGAAACGTGCACAGAAGGCTTCTTGTTTTGTTTCTGATTGTGGTTCCAATATTTGAAGAAAAATAACTATTCACAACCCTGTAACTATCCTAGAGCATCATGGGAGAGTCGTGGTTCTCACCACAGGCCACGCAGAAGAATGCCCAAGCCTGCCCTCCATTGAAAGGCCTGGGATTATAAGCCACCCACCTCAACATTGTTCATATCAAACCTGAGGCCAATTCCATCACTCTAGGAATCCAGTCAGCACAAGCTAGCACATAAAAACTGGGTGCCTCCCTTCTACTCCAGAGGGACACTGTGTGCCAGTGCGTGTAATCATGCACAGTAACAGCAACCCAATTCATTTGGAAAAGGACTGTGCAGTACTTTTCTCAAAAAAAGAAATACAAATGGCCAACAAACGCATGAAAAAAAAAATTTCAACATCCCTAGCAATCAGGGAAATGCAAATCAAAACTACACTGAGATTCCATCTCACTCCAGCCAGAATGGCATCCATCAAGAATACAAATAACAGTCATTGCTAACAAGGACACTGGGGGTGGGGGGGAGAGTATATGCATACTTTGTGGTGGGACTGCAAATTAGTATAACCACTCTGGAAAGCAGTATGGAGGTTCCTCAAAAGACTAGGAATGGAACCACTCTATGACCCAGATAACCCACTCCTTGGTATTTATCCCAAAGAACTAAAGTTAGCACATTAGAGTAATACATGCATGCCAATGTTTATAGCAGCACAATGCACAATATCCAAATTATGGAACCAGCCTAGGTGCACTTCAACAGATGAATGGATAAAGAAAATGTGGTATACATACATGATGGAGTTCTACTCAGCCATAAAGAAGAATAAAATGATGTCATTAGCTGGTAAATGGATGGAACTGGAGAACATGCTAAGTGAAATAAGCCAGACTCAGAAAGTCAAGGGTTGAATGTTTTCTCTCATATGTGGAAGCTAGGAGCAGGGAAATAAATTTTTAAAGGGGGTTAAGGGGTTCTCACAAGTGTAAAGGGAAGGCCAATAGAGTAAGGGAATGGATGGGGAGGAAGGGGGAATGAGGAAGAACTAGGAATAAACTCTAACAAATCATGCTATGTCCACGTACAACTGTACCATAATGAATTCTGCTGTAATATATAATTTTAATGCACCAATTAAAATGTTAATAATGATATTATAAAGGAGATCAGTAGAACAGAGCAAGCAGATCAGGGAAGGGAAAGAAAAGGAATGTGATTGATTGATATGTACTATATGCTTGTACAATATGGCATGATGAATTCCGCTACTATATATAATTATAACACACCATTAGTTTTTGTCGTTGTTGTTGTTTGTTTGTTTTTTAACAAAAGGAGTTTTAAAAGTTAGGTCTCCCCTACTGCAAACTTTAAGGGCATCTGATTCGAACCTGCATGATATGATCATGGCATAGTGATTCTGGGCTTGTTCACCAAATCTTAAAACACTGGGAAAAAAGGGTCACCCTTTACCACCCACAAGTAAAGAGTAAAAGGAAACTCGATGTTCACAAAGAGTAATAATGTCTGATTCCCATTAGTCCCAACATACAGTCCTAGGTACGTGAGACAATGTGGTACAAAGAATCTGACACATTAAAACACCTGAGGCACACATGGCTCTGCAGAAAGGGCCAACGTGCAGAGCTGCCTCAGGGAAGGCTCGCTGCATCCTGAAGGGCTCCCTCAGCTGCTCTGTGTGAAGTGGACCAGGGATCTGCTCTTGTGGGTGACTCCTGCGTAGCAGACTGGATGCACCTGGTAATTCATAACAACCAGAAAAGAATCGCTGACCCTTGATGCCACATAGTCACCAATTTCATCCTTCCCTGAAAGCAGGTATCACATAGAGCACAACCTGATGAGTGAGCAACTTGGTCTCCACACTGCAGTGCTGAGGGCAGTCCAGAGCCTGGAACTTCTCCACCAGAGACAAGCAGGTGAACTCGGAGGGTCACACAGCCAGCCCACTGTCCTAGTCTGTATTCTATGGTTGCAACTCAATACCACGCACTGAGTAATTTATGAAAACAAAAGGTTTTTTTCAACTCATGATTCTGAAGTCTGAGAAGTTCAAGTTCAGGGGGCCACGTCTAGTGAGGTCCTTCAGGCTGGTGGGAACTCTCTACAGAGTCCCAAGGCAGGACAGGCATCATGAGGCAAGACAGAACATCCTAGCCCAGGTCTCTCCTCCTCTTGTCATAAAGCGACTCTCCCATTGGATTAGGGCCCCACCTCCCAAAGGTCCTACTTCCAAATAGTACAGCTACATGAAGTTTCCACCCTACCAACACCTCACAATGGTGACTAAATATCAATGATTCGGGAGAGGACATTCAACCACAGCACTTAGTTTTCTCATCAATGTTATTTCTCCTAAAAATAACGGCCACAAAAATTCATCTTTCCAACAGTGTCCAAGTTGGAGAATATATAAAGAAGTTCAAGAAAACGTCCAAAATTTCTAGAAATATCCATTCATTGACTGAGCATATGTAAGATTTCTAGAACTGTTAAACCCCTCCTGTGTGTTAGGCACAGAGTTAGTAACTAAGGATACGTTGATGAAGACAACCCTTATAAATAGACCAGCTTCGGAAGTGAATGAGAGGGCAGAGAAAGATAATTAAAGAATATCCGATGGGGCTGAGGATGTACCTCAGTGGTGGAGCACTTGCCTAGCGTGTGCTCCACCAGTACCACCAAAAAAATAAAAAGAAATAAAAACAGAATTACAGTCTCAAAAATAGAAGCATACATAGTGGGGTACTGGTAGAAAGCTCAACAACCAGCTCTATGGGGACAAGGGAACCCTGATTTGTAGCCTCTGCCAATTTCCATGGTGTAAATTCCCACATGGCCAATTTCAAGTTGCCAACATCACATCAAATAACTTGCACAATTTCAAATAACTTAACAACCATTGATACAAAACTGGTACTAGCTGGTACCAGGATATCATATAAGAGACTGATACTAGACAAAGATAGAGAATGCTTAAAAAGTAATGGACCAGGCCCCATCTCTAATGCTAAGTCATGGATCCCAAACATCTCATCCATGACCTCAAAATAGCGTAATAGTGGACTGGATGCACCTGGTCATCACTGATCAGTGAAGAACCACTGACTCCCAGGTACCTATTCAGTTTCTATAAGGGATAGAATTATAGGCCAAGGTCACTCTTGTAACCTAGTGTCACTCGCCTAAGTCATTTATCTTCAAGAGAAAGGAGTTTGGTCCCTCCTAGAGAAAAGCATTCAAACTGACAGTTGGGTGTTCTATAGATAGCATGATTTAGCTGAACGCAGTAGTGCACGCCTATAATTCCAGCAACCCAGGAGGTTGAGCCAGAGAATCGTAAGTTCAAGATCAGCCTTGGAAAGTCACAAGATCCAGTCTCAAAAAATACAAAGGTCTATGGATATAGCCCAGTGGTAGAGCACCTTTGGGTTTGGTCCCCAATAAAACAAACACACACACACACACACACACACACACACAGCAAATCCCTTCCTAGTTACCCCAAAACACTCAAAGCTGTCAGCCTTTTTCAGTGATTCTTCAAATTCTGCATTCTTTACCACAGGTGCCCACTCAGCTCCTGAGTCCCAGGGGAGCCACGCAGCACCATCCCAGAGGTACTCCAGGGGAGTGAGAATGATTTGCAAGGTTTCTCAAGCAGGCTCTGCTCTTCCAGCCTGTGACTCCTTCCTCCAAAACCCTCCAACTTATTAAATAGGTTCTGGAATGTTACACCTCTGCTAACTATATATACTTAGAGTTATTAAAACCTAATCATAAATTTTTGGTGCCAGGATTGAACCCAGGGTGCCTAATCATATAATCTTTAATTTAGCAAATGTGATCTCAAGAATTAGACACAGATACAACAGAACGCTACAAACACATTCCAGAGGAAGCCATGTTAAAAGGGAACAGAAATCACCAAAAATGCAAGAGGACAGATGGGAAGGCGGCTAAGAGATGGGAGATGAGTTCAGGGATGGGTAGATGAAGGCCACCACTGATGGCTGCCCTGCCTCAGTGACAGCTGAGGAGGTAAGATCATATTCGAGAACTAGTTCACAAGTTTTCCCCACAACACACTCACCCCAACCCCCAGTATAAAATTCAGCAGACTACAGACGGAAACTTCCTAAGAAACCATTCACATAGAATTGTTTAATTAAAAGCTGATCCATTTACTCAGATCCTAAGAACTTCCGCCTAAACCTCAGCTTATTCTAATCACTCTAAGGGCAACTGGTCAGTTGGCAAACTGTGGTTAAATATTTCACTGAGGTTTCTAAATATTCAAGATGATCCCACCAATCCCTCTTCCTTCCACTTCTTGTTCATATGATCATCTAAGCACTGGTCACCTCCACTCCATGCAGCAGGATGCAGAAGAACAGGGAAGAACAAGACAGTGATGATCCCAAGCACCACGATGCAAGATCAAGGCCACTTGGACTCCCAGGTTCAGAACCTCAACCACTCTCCTGCCCAAATCCTCGGCTCCTCTGCATGCCATCTGTCCGTCGCCCCTGCTAGTGGATCCCAGTCTGCTTTCCAGCCAACCCGTGGCACTCAGGGATCCCAGGACAAGGGTGTTCGAGGGTGTTAGGGGCCGGCTCTTCCAGCTTCCTCCACGGGGTCTACCCCTTGCCTTCTGTGTTCTCAAGCCACACCGAAGCACTCACTCTCAACAGATGCCTTTTACGTCAAGAGAACAAACTCCATGACAGCCCCCTCAATTCCCTACCTCAGCACCCAAAGCTGATCCATCTTCTCCTCTTTGCGTCCCTTATAGAGCACGAGCTACGGCTCCCTGACCACGTGCTTTCTCTACTTTCTCACTCCGACTCACTCCTCTGTCCACTGAAAGCTGCTTCCACGCCAACAGAACTAAGGTTTGGACAGACTTGTTTTTAAACCTAACGAACACGTCACAGTCCTTCTGGATTGACCACAGCAACTTGTGTCCCTCCTTCCCACCCGTAGCTACATCTGCTTCTGGTCGGCTTCCCACCTCTTCCTCTCACCCTTCCTTTCCAGAATTTTCTCCTGACAAATCTCTTAGATGCTGAAGTTCCTCAAGGGACCATCTTCCCTCCTCTTCTCTTATCTTTTTTCCCTGTTCTGGGTGAGTTGATTTTATTCCTGGCTTCGATTACTATCTATAAGATGACAACTTATATTTATTGTCTTTTGCCTAGATTTGTCTGTTGAATTAATCCTTTATTTAAAAAAATTATTTTAAAAAATCAATGGTAATAATAACAACAGGATAGCAGGAAAATTTGAGAACTTAATATGCATTTTCTCTTCTACTCCTATTTCTTTTTTAAGCAGAGAGAATGGTATTGCTTGGCTGAACACACAGAAGGTGGCTGCAAACACCTCAACTTCTTGGCTTAGTTTCTAGAAGTCAGAGCTACTTGAGATTAGGAGGAGAGATGACTTTGAGGACACAGAGAAATAGGAACGATTACTCCAGATTGTGAAGAAGGTGGAAGTAACAATCCTATGAAAAGAATTCGAATCCAGCTCACCACAGGTGGGTAACACAGCTCAAAGGGCTTGATGGGTGGACTAGGAGAGTGGATTTCTGCACTAAAGCTCCCAGCCTGAATCTAGGCTTTAAGAAGCCCTGGAGGCTTCTGGTTGTTTTGCTTTGGGTTAAGCCAGTGGCCATGCAGAAGTCCACCTGCCTTCAGACCACTATGCAATGGGCATGCTGGAGAAATCACAGGGAGGAAAAGTGAAGGTCCTTGTCCCCACCTGAGCTTCCAGCCAAGATCTAGAAACAACCTGCTTTTCATGCCAGCAATTCTCCAGCCCAGTTATACCATCCCAGGGGACTCCAGAAGTTCCCCTTTCAGCCCTGTCTCAATTACAGATCCATGAGCAAATAAACAGAGTGATTGTGGATTTAGGATACTACATTGTAAGGTAGTTTGTTTCTCAACAACAGGTAACCGAAACGGTGGTTCATGAGTTCCAGGACTCAAGTGATCTTCTACTCATCAGTGGGGGTTGGAGGGGAACAATGCCTCTGTAAATGCTCCAAGAGCTCCAAAGTGTCCTTCGGATGAAACAAAACATTTGACTACAATACACGAAGCTTCCATCACCTGGCCACAGCCTAACCTCCAGAGAGCATGACTATGACAGCTTCCCTACAAGAGATGCTACTGTGGTTCCGTCTTACAGACAAGCCAACCAAGGCTGGGAGAGTTTAAGATCTGGCCCAAAGTCACCCAGAGAGTGACAAAGCACACCCACCAGTGTACTGCCTGCCCCCTGGCCCATTTTCCCTTGGCCACATCCCCAATAAAAAGTCCTGGCAGATCAGGTCTTCGTGATTGTGACCTACTTACAGCCACCACAAATCATAGAGCAGCATGGGCTGTTCTCCAACTGAAACTAATTTAAAATAATTTACTTTTTTGAAGAATTATAATGAGAATCCATAGTTATAGATAATTTAGATGAAAGCTGTTCTCGTGACCCAGTAAAAATAAAGAGACAGCATATGGTTTGGAATAAATGTGATTCTCGAGAATGCAATCTAGATAATCACTGAATTATTATAATCATTCTGGGGCATGTTTTTATCTTTGTTGATTTTTTCCTGTCCACTGGGACTGTAGTTGTATAATAATAACACAGGTTTAGAGGACTCTGATCTCCAGTTGCTTAGCAACCCACAGCTTTGAAGAGAATGAGGGATCAAGGGTCGATGGCAAAATAACGCTGTTTGCAATTCAACAGTTATTTAAAAGTTCTAGAATTATAAAAACTGTTCTGCTTTAAATACAAGTATGCAAATGAATACTTTGCTGGATCAGCCATCATTTTTATTTCTGTCCTTACCCTGATTTTGAAGCTGGAATCAATCATGGAAAGAATGACACAAACTTTCTAATTTGAACAACAGCACTATGAGAATGATGCTTCACAAGGCTGTCTCAAGGCAGAGTGTCATCGTTCCTGCCACAGAACAGCTCAAAACATTTTAGGGAAAACCAAATGAAAAAAAAATGAACATCAGTTACAAAGGACGGCAGCCAGTTCATGGCGCCTCCCAATGAGCATTAGCTGCCATCGCCACCATCATCATCACCATCACCAAAGAGGCACAGGAACACAGGCATGTGTGGACCCAGCAAGTGACAGCCATTCCATAGTGTGCACCTTCCCATTCTTTTTTGGTGGCTGTCAGTGTACAAATCATTTTACATGCTCTCTGTTCATTCATTTGCTGGTTATTCACACAACAAATGGTCGCAGAGCAGCTAGTGAGGCCAGGTGCTTTGCCAGGTACCGTACCAGGCACAGAGCAAGGAACTGGATCACAGGAGACATAGCGCCCACCTCATCGTCTCTCAGGTGCAGAGAGACAGCAAACAAGGAAACAACCCCAAAATCGTACATCATGGCGGGAACTGGTCAGGAAGCGAGCAGGAGGCTAAGACCTGTAGAAGGCGGTCCGAGGAGGACTGTTTCAGGCAGTGGTGTGTAATGGTGACCTGAAGGATGAGGGGGAGCCAGCCCCGGGGAGAGCCAGGAGAAGAGGGAACCTGAGACACAACAGAGCAGCTGTGCTTGTGCTGGGAGCCCTTCCAGCATGGGACAGCCACAGTGAGTGAGGTAAGAGGGAGACTTAAGAACTACAAACTAGGGGCTGGGGCTGGGGCTCAGAAGTAGCCCACTTGCCTGGCATGTGAGAGGCACTGGGTTTGATTCTCAGCACCACATATAATAAATAAAAATAAAAGTCTATCAGTAACTAAAAAAAAAGAGAGAGAGAGATTAAAAAGAATTACAAACTATTCCAGAAGTGTTGGAACCTCCAAGCACCCCTCCCCCATTTTGCAGTGCTGGGCGTCAAATCCAGGCTCTCACACTTGCTAGATGAGGATTCTACCACTGAGCTATACCCCTAACTCCTCAAGGTCACATTTTATCAGAAAAAAAATAGACTCATGTTTTCACTGCACACAAAATAGTCTATTGGCAAGGTAGGGCTGTGGATTGATCGCTCATCTGGGGCAGCTCCAGCCTTGCCAGCCACCTCTCCCACACCACCACCACCACCACCCAGTCAGTCTGGGCCCCCACCCAGGTTCTGAGCCAGTGCCTACCATCATTGCTCATGCCTGGGTCCAGGAAGGTGAGGTCCCAAGAATCTATAGCACAATGTAGCACAAGAGTAGTTCATAGAAGGCCTGGTGCCGGGCCCACCTTGCCCAACCTGGGCTGGAACAGGCAGAAGTTCCAGGTAGTCAGGTGAACCAACAGAGGCGACCCCAGAGATGCCACACACCCACACCTCATCTGTCGTCAGCCCCACTCAGTGTGGACTCCACCAGGACCCACCGAAATCCAGCCACCAAGAAACCACTGCAGGCTGCCCTTGGCAACCCCTTCTCCATGAGCTTCGGACTGCCCCAGCACCCACTTAGCAAGAAACAAATCTCTGTTAATATAAGAGATCGTGGATGGCTGAATGCCACATTCCTGCCCTAAGTCTAGATATGGACTTTCTGGATGCCCTTAAAATCTGAACCCAAACAAGTGACTGACTGTGGAAATTCCAGTCTTACCAATATGCCAGGAGAGTCTTTTGTGGACTTCATCCCCAGCTCTCTTTGAATTGCAATATAACATGTACAGACACATTGCAAATGAAGCCAAAATCTTGAAATAACTTAAAAGGGCTGGGTCTGGTTGTTTCTAATGCCGCTCTCTTCAGGGAGGAGCATATTTCTTTCCAATTCTGTGTTATGTACCTTAATGTAAGTGAGATTACTGGTTCGATTTCACGTCTTCTGATTTTTCTTCTCATTTAATCTCCTAAGTGCAAAATTGTCTTGAAAAACATCTTTTACAATGAGTGTTTAAAACTATCAGACAGCTGTACCATTATTTAAACCTTCTCCTATTCTGCACATTTAGGGGTTCTCTCACTGGAGACTATTACAAACAATGTGATGACAGTATCTGGGTTTGTACAACTTTGTTCAAATTCCCAATTACTTTTGTACGGCAGACTTCTAAAGCAGGTATTATGGAGTCAAAGACTTTAAGATTCTTAATCCACATTACCTAATTACTTTCAAAAAGTGAACCAATTTTCACATCCAACATTAATATAAGTGCCCATTTTACTTTAAGGGATATACTTTAATGCAATTTGAAATTACTTTAATCTGTCAAAATATTTTAATATCAGTAGCTGCCAAATGTAATCATAGGGCTAATAGAGTAATTTCACACACTATTTATATATCTGGCACTACTTTGGACCATAATGATCTCCAGATGGATCCTCAGTCAACTTCACCTTAACAGTGATTTTATTCCTTTCTGTCTTCTTAATCTGGCTGGTAATTAACAGTGGGCAATGTTTGGCAAGTTCAGGCTGCGACAGAATCTATGCCAGTTCTCTGCCATGGCAAACCCACAGCAGCAGATAGACTGGCTGGAAAGTGCACAGGCGCTCAGCCCTGCCCACCCTGCACTTTCCCAATGCACTCAACAGATGAACCCATGGCATTTATGTAGCTTTGAATTTTTTGTAGCCTCAGCCAAGTGGACCAGGTCACAGTCCTACTGTTTAATTATGGAAATTTATGGAGAGAAAGAGGCATTTCCCCAGCATCTACCTGATGACAGATGACAGAAATATGTGGTTGCTGCACCAGCCAGACTACCCTCTCTGAACCACTCCTGGGTCCCTGGGGTACTGTCTGTGGTTTGTGGGAGATGCCACCAAATGGCAGACTTGATTCTCTTCAGGACTTTGACTCCCTCTAGGTATCAGAGTGAATCCTTCATGAAATATCCTGCTTCTCACATTGTGGGCTTCAATAATATGTAGGAGGATCTAATCAACAAGGCTGATTGCTGGTAGATATAAGAAATTGTACATCATCTGAGCACACATTTAAAGTGCATTCTAGAACCTAAGTTTATCCATGCACCTTTAGCCTTGGGGGTTGTTGTCCTACTCTTCCCCTGCTCATCCCCTCCCCTCCTCAGCCTGGCATTGAAGGTGTCTTTCCCCACACTGCAGGAATTGCACCTTGTTGCTACCAAAGCCACTGAGTAGGTGGCTTTAGTAGAGTCGTGACTTTCTAATGATGGGAAAATTTAGACATATGTCTCGTTTTGAATTCATTTAAACATATGCAAAGTTTAAAACCATTTAAAAATGTGTTTCTGCACACAATTTATTTTAGCCTGAAAGTATACGGAAGGAAAGAAATGAGATGAGAGCATCCACATCGGCATGCTAGAAAGCACTGGAGATGTAACTTGGCAGGATATCAAGGCAGAAAAAAAAAAATATGTTGGACCCATTGAACTCAGATTGGTTGGAGAGGAAATACCACCACCTACCAGTGTGAAAATCCCTTGGCACGGCCTGCATTTTAAAAGCACATACACACATATGCATATTCCTTTTCTTGGGGGGTGCTGGGGAAGCGGGGAAGGGCATACATCAATGGCCCTCTCTGGTTCCATGAAGGAGCTTCAGAACTCCTAGAATTGCAGTAATCAGAGACCTCAAGACAAGCTCAGAGAGACCAGAATCCAGATTTCCAGCATGCAGGTGGTTTCATTAAGTCCCATCTAGAACTTTCTCTGGCATACAACTCTAGTACCCAAAGCTGGTACCACTTAAATTTGTCCTTCCATTTAGGTGCAAGATTCTTAAATGCAACAACCTTTGGTGAGCATAATTTGAGTAATAACTTGAAGGTTGCAATTATTTTCCTTCAGTTATTCGTTGTAGTCTTGGAATGTTGATGAGTAAATCTTCCAAAGGGTCATCCCCAAGTGTGAAGTTTCTTCTCCACTCTCACATATAAACCAAGTAGTCAACCATGCAGCCAACTAACTCCAGTAATTTCCCCAAAGAAACATATGCAAGGCAAGAATGTGTCTCTTTTATTAGGCATTTGTCCAGTTCTATAGAAAATAATGCGAAGGGGAAATTACCAGGCAAACCCCAACTGATGTGATCCAAGCAACACAAGAAATACCTTCCTTTCTTTGTAGCAACAAAATCTGAAATGTGGGATCACTAAAGCAATGCATTCATCCTTACATCTTGAGGGAGCTCATCATAAGTTGTGGGTAGCCTAGCTAAATGCTTCATTTGTACTATAAAATTGGCCTTTATGGCATGTCTTAATTCACTAATTAGAGGCCAGAACTGCTCTCATCAATGGGAATAGTGAACCCCAAATCACAGATTTAGGACTCAGTTTGAAGACAACTGACCTTCCACTATGATTCTCATTTCAATTCAACACAGGGTAATAGGCATCAACAAAATTCATCTACATGAATCTCTTCCAGTGACCCTTCACAGCTCCATAAATTAAAAAAAAAAAAAAAACTAATTTCCAAGTTACTGAGAGGACTGTATTTTGGCACCCAGAAAAATACATCCTTAGATGTCTTGTGGAAGATATATCAGATAGTTCTGCAAACATTTCAGTCCACTTCTGCTAAGGACTAAGTATATATGTCCCCACCCCAAAATTCATGTTGAAATGCCACCCTCCAATATGATGGTATTAGGAGGTGAGATTATCTTCATGGATAATTAGGTCATGAGAGTGGGGCCCCAATGAATGGATTAATGCCCTTATAAAAGAAACCCAGAGAACTCTCTTGCTTCCTCTCCACTTTGTGAAGAGACAAGAAGTTGGCAGAAGAGGACCCCAACCTATAGTCTCCAGACCTGATGAGAAATAATTTTCGGTTGTTTATAAGCCACTCAGTCCATGGCACTTTGCTACGCAGCATCCTGAACTA